GTGTGGTGCTTCTGAAGCGCATCGAAGGTGTACTGTCATAGGCCGCCGAGCTCGGCACGCGCGTTGCTGTCTTCGGACTGTGGGTCTAACGTTCCCCCTTTGTGTAGTGGACTTTAAACCGGAGATCTAGTGAGCCTGGTGTTCCACAGACAGTCCCAGCACTCTTCCAGGAATGTGAAGGGAAACCGTTGGGGGAAAGGGGCACCCACCCCACTGAGCTTCTCCTTTTCCTTGGGGTTCTTCGAAATGGAGGCCAAATTATCAGCTACCGTCACAATATCTTTAATATCCTAAAAGTTTCTGGTCACTGAGGATTTGAAGATACCACTCTCCACCATTCAAAAATATCCACTGGAATCCTAATTACTTATTCTCAGGAGATGTTCTCGATTCTGTCCTGATATAACCCAGTCCTGTTGAAGGCAGCCTTCATGGAGGAAGGGACCCAGTTTTAGAGCCAGACCATCCCGGGTTAGAATTCTAGTGTGTGCTGGAACAGAAGCACCAAGAGGGCAGGCCTCCAGTCACCTTTCCCAGCCCTATCTCCACGCCAGGGCAGCGTAAGGCACATGGAAGGAGTTCCGCTCATACTGGTGGGACACAGGAATGAAAGATGAATGGTCACTTCAACCTGGTTCTCTCTGACGATAACACTCCTACTGCATGGATAGTCACAAGGGGTTCTTGAGAAATAGAAAATGAATTCTCCTTGGTCCACAGAGAGAACCCAGAGACCCACAATGCAGTTCCTTGAGACTGATTCCCTCTCTCTCCAGCTTCTCTTGCCAAGCCTTTCAGATTCTCCTCTTTGCTGCTGGGGAGGGTGCGGGGGTGGAGAGTCCCCAAGGGGGGATGGGGAGGATGGACTTGGCCAGTACCAAGGGCAGTGTGGGGAGTTGAGCCCGCCACATTCACAGCCGCCATCTCCCTACTCAGGTACACCTTCGGCGCTGCCTTGTTCGTGGGCTGGGTCGCTGGAGGACTCACGCTCATCGGAGGCGTGATGATGTGCATCGCCTGCCGGGGGCTGGCCCCAGATGAAACCAAGTGAGTCTCCTGTCCCAGTGCAGTCGGCTTTCCATCTGTTAGGAGCCCATGGGAACATGTCATTTGCAGCTGGAGGGATTAGTCTAGGTATATGGTAGGACTTTATTAACCATTGTTTCATTGAATCTTCTGTTTTATGGGGAACCTAAAAAACAGAACAGGAATATTTTGGAATGAAAAGACTTAGGGCAATCCTATCATACTTGGGGAGGACAGTGGGGGGATCCCTCCAGGTTCCTTACAGCTCTAGAATGCTGCAACTCAGTGGTTCTCAGCTGGAAGCAATGTGGGCCCCCAAGGAACTACTTGGCAATATCTTAAGACACTTCTGAGTGTTCCAGTTTGGGGAAGGTGGGGGTGAGGGATGGAGCCGATACTGTCATCTAGTGGGTAAAGGCCACAGTGCACAAAACTGCCCCACAATAGGAAAGCATTCCCTCCAAAATATCAGTAGTTCTCAGCTGCTGTTGAGAAACCGTGATGTAGTTCCATAGGTGGACTGAGAGCTGGGAGAGCTGGATTCCAGGGTGGGTCTACTGCTAACGAGTCCTGTAACCTTCAGCAGGGAGTATGCCCTTTCTGGGTCCCTAGTACCTTATCCTTAAAATAGCAGATTAGAGGCGATGGGATGCACATAGATACCTTCCAGCTCACACATTCTAGATGCTGCTTTGGTCTAACAATGTTTCCTAGACACTGTTTCTTGTTCATCTGGCTAGTGAGGAAACTCACTAGCCACTACCTACTAGCTCACCAAATCTCTAACCCCAAACTCAAACTCAAATACAAATACAGATCCTCTGTTCCACTGCAGAGGCAGAAAACCAGTATCACAAAGACCAGGGTGACCAGTTGTCCCAGTTTGCCCAGGACTAATAGTTTCCAGGGATACTGGATTTTTGGTGCTAAAACTGAGACAGGCCAGGGTCAATGGGGAGGTTGATCCTTCTACCAAAAACATCCTTGGTCACTAATTTTTCTTTCTCTCTTTCTTTCAGCTACAAAGCCGTGTCTTATCATGCCTCCGGCCACAACGTTGCCTACAAGCCTGGGGGCTTCAAGGCCAGCACTGGCTTTGGGTCCAACATGAAAAACAAGAAGATATATGAAGGGGGTGCCCACACAGAGGACGAGGCACAGTCTCACCCCTCCAAGTATGACTATGTGTAATGCCCCCAGAAACCCTTGGCATGGACAGAAGAAACCCCCAAAGAGAGCTCACCCAGAAAACAAGGAGATTATTCCTTGATTCCTTACTGCTTTTGACTCACAGTTGGAAGTTAGGAAAGCCTTGATTCTATCTGTGGGGAGGCCAGATGGTCTTACCCACATGTATCTGTCTCTAAATATTCCATCACCAAACAGCTGAGTTATCATTTATGAATTTAGAGGCTATATCTCTCATTTCCTAATCCTCTATTTCTTTTTTTTTAATGTAACCTTGCTAATCTGATGATAGAATAGGGCTTGAATTCTTATCTGACACTTTGATGATTTAGACAGAATACCCCTCCTCCTTCCAGTCAATAAACTCATTGATGATCTAGTTGCCAGTTTATCCCCCCTAAAAAAAAAATTAGGGGAAAAAAAAGTAGAGTAGATCAAAAGACAATATTTTATTCTATTTGATTTTTGCCTCCCAACCCCCAACTTGGCTACTAATAGAAACTAACTGCAGAAGTGATTGAAGGAAGATATTTGTGATCTCTCCAGCCCATTATCTGAGTTTTCTTACACCGTGATCTGAAAAGTTACCATACCAAAGTGATTTTCAGTTTGAGGCAGTCAAGCCTTTCTGCAGCTGTTGGCATCTGCTAATTCCAGCAAGACCATCCCAGGGGGTTCAGAGCTCTCCACTGGAGGCCCTCTCTCTGAGGCAGGTCAGAAATTGTCCCTAGGAAAATGAGAAAAAGAATATTTTTTTTGTAATCAAAATACTAAATATAGTTGGAATAAAGCATGTATTAGGAAAATGACACATTTTTCTCTGTGAACTAGCCCACCTCTGTACATAGATAAAAGAAAATGGAAAAAAAAATTGCTTTGACATTGTCTATGGTATACTTTGTAAAGTCACACTGAAGTCCAAATTCCATGAAAATCTCACTGATCTTAATTCTTTCCCTTTGAAGTTTCCTTGACTCTGATTATGTGTGATAATAAGTGTAACCTATGTGAAAAACAAATAAGGGAGCACCACAAGTCCTAGAAAGTAGGTTAAAGTAGGTTAAAACCAGTTCTCTAAAAAACAACACGAAACAAAAACCAGTGAGCCTGAATGTAATGCTACGTTTCCACGTGATGCAGGTCCATACTTGCCTGCCTACAGGCACCTGTCGGTTGACAGTGGCACTTACTTGGTGCTGTGGCCAGTTTTGTCACTCTGAGAGCTGTCCCCTTCAATGAGTTCACCTAAAGTGGGTGGAACTGGATGTCGAGGCAGAACTGAAAGCTCTTTGCAGCCACACACCTGTCCTGTGCTTAACATCGACACCCTTTTGGGCAGAAGGTCTAAACTCCCTCTGGATACCAGAATTCCAGTGAGCAGAGCCAGAATAAGGCCCCAGGAAATGAGAGTAAGGGCAGCTTATAAAACCTCCCCAATCTGGGAGAAGCAAGGGTCCTAGGGAAATCCGATTATGGGTTATTGTTTGGAGGAGGAGGGAGCCCTTACATCAATTGTGTGTAAGAAGGTGGTCTCCAAGGGGATTGGCGAACACCCACAGAGTCTTCAAGCTGAACCGACAGTGTCTGGGGAAAGGCTGAACATGTCCCATTGAGCAGGGAGGAGCTGTGTTCACCAAGATCCAAAGCAATAAACTCGGAACTCTTCCCACTAAGACAGCAATGGTTTTAGGCCAAATCAGGGAGGATACTCTTAGAACTTGTTGCCTGAGGTGGGGTAGAGATGAGCAGATAAATCAAGGAAAGGCAAGCTGGGGATGGAGACTGTTAAGGCTTCTCATCATTTGAGTTGAAGGTCGTGCCTTTGAGTTGAAGACCATGAGGCTCCATGAGGAGGCTCTCCCACCTCCCTCCAGAAAGTCCCTCGTCAGCTCTGAGGCCGTGAGATGGGGCTCAGCTGGTTTTCAGTGAGCACATTCTCTAGACAACATTTCATTATTTGAAAGCCTCCATGTGTTTAGATTGTGCTTTGTGTTGTGTTGTTGTGGCTCTCTTCTTGTACATGCATTGATTGTTGACCTACAAGTTTTGTTACTAAATATTAAAAACACTGTTATCTCACATTTGAATCACGTCTGCTGTTCTTCTTCAGCTTTGGGAAGTGGAATGGGAAGTCCCAACACCCCACAGATGAATCAGTGTGTCTTCCCGGGAGTGACTGCCTGCAGAATCTGTCTGTTCAACTGCAGCCTACCTGCCTGGAGCCCAGCGAGGCCTACTGGCCCCGTTAGTAGTTTCTGCAAGTTGGGAAGCCGCAATAGAAGGCGGCTCCCAGAGTGCCCAGTCATGAAGCACAGGGTCCAAGAACCAAGTCTAGCCTGCCTGCCTCCGAGTGCACCAGCCTAAGTATTTAATGTCACCGACTATCCATGGATCAGAAAAACAAAGAGGCTGATGCCTGCCCTTAACCAGCTCAATAACTTGTTCTCACTGAGGCTGTAGCAGGCTCTGGAAACAGCATGAGCTGTAGAGTCAGAACAGCCCAACCCTGGGACCAGCAGATGGCATTAATGGTTAGGTCTCTGGACTCCCATGTAGTCAACCATGGTTCGAGTCCCTTATCCAGCAGCTTAAAACTCATGCCAGGTAAATGTGTGTTCGTGTCCAACATCCCGAGAGGAGAATGGAGGAGAAGGGATTGCTGCATGGCCATCCCCCTTAGGGGGTGATTTCTCACTTTCTGTCTCTCTCTGTCTTTCTGTCTCTCTGGCAAGTGCATGCACCCTATAGCAAAAATCTCTCTAAAAATTAATTTTAAAATACAAAACAGCCCAACATCAACGCCAAGCCACACTCTTCCAGCTGTATTTGATTAAGCAAAGCATTTAACTTTTACTAATCTAAATCTCCTTATGTATAAAATAGGGATGATATGGGGTAATATGGAAAAATGCAAGTAAACGACAGACACCCACCTTGTGCAACTTTAGGATAAACAGGCCACTGGCTTATATAACTGCGATAGCAAAGGCGGGGTTGGCTTCAGGGACAGCTGGATCAAGGAACATGATCAGTTCCTTACCCGTCTCTACCCTTCCTTCAGTCTGCTTTCCTCACTGTTGATTTGCTTCTCAAGATGATTGTCCCACTGTAGCAGTGATGGCTGCTCATATTACTTGAAATAAGCCCTCTGCAGCTAGGGAACGTAGCCAAAGGGAAGCATCTCTTTCCTGATATCTGTAGGAGAAAAAAATCCAAATAGAATGCATTGGTCTATCTGAGTCATGCATCCATCCCCGAACTTCCTTCTATCCCCAGATACGGCATGTCTTCTGAACACAGATATAATGATATGTTTCCTCTTTATTGATACTTCTGCAGCACTTTCCAAATTTTATTCAATGAAACACCTTTATTTTATATAGAGAAAAAATAAAACTAAAAATTGAGAAGAAAAAAATATATTTTTTAAGAGAGGTTTTGGCTACAGGGTGCGTGCACTCACCAGAAAGACTGAAAGAGACAGAAAGTGAGAAATCACTCCCCAGGGGGGATGGTCACGCAGTAATCCCTTCTCTTCCATGAGGAGAACATTCTTTTTTATAATTACTTTTTTTATTTAATTTTATTTATTCATTCATTTATTCTTAATTTGAGCAGAGAAAGACACAGAGAGAGATAGAAAGAGAGAGGGAAACCGAGAAAGCAAGCCACCAGGCCCAGGACTCAAACTGTGGTCAGCCATGTGGGAGTGTCCAGCACCTTAGCCACTATGCCACCTGCTGGTCCCGAGGAGAAAAATGTTTAAGTAGAAAGAGTTTGCCCCATAGCATTGCAGTTAAGGGAGCCAGATGCCATACGACTGAAGACAGTTCAAATCCCGGCCTCAGAGGCTTGAAAAACTTACCAGGCACTCATGCCCTAAATCCTGACAAGATAGAGAAATGGAGGAAAGAGATTGTAGCATGTCTACATTCCACTGGAAGTTGCTTTCTCCTTTCTCTCTCCTTATTTGTTTCTTTCTGGTAGCATGTAAATCCTCTAGCAATAGAAAGAAAGAAAATGAAAAGAAAGGAAGAGAAAGAATAAAAAGAAAAAAGAGAGGGAGGGAGGGAGGAAAGAAGGAAGAGAACAGAAAATAGCATCCAGACATGTAGTCAACGCGGACAAGCAGAGCCAGTTACTTGAACGCTGGACCGTCTCAGGCTGAGTGAGCTTCCTGTTTTATTCCAAACCAATAAAATAAAGTGGATTTTGGCCCAGAAATCTGACCTCACACTGAGTCGTTTCGGTTTTTTTTCCTTTCAACCACCTCTGGCATTCATCTGATCACATCTACTCACCTCTGAGGATGGTCGACCATGGACTCACAGCCTTGTCGTGGACGAGGGCCAGCAAGGAGATGGACGTGCTCAGAGCCCTTGTTCAGACGTGTCGGGGAGCCAGGATGAGGCCTGGAGTCTGTAGCCAGTTTGCCTCTTACTTGCTCCACAGTCCACCAGACTCGTCACCTCACTTCCACCCCACAGTCCTCCCCAGTCTCCGATTCCTTCTTTTAGACAGAAGGGTCACCCACACAAAACAAGGAGGGACTGCTTCAGGGTGGGTAGCCTAATGTCAGCAGGTGGTCTGAGCCGCCCAGACCCACCTGTGTGGGGAAGAGTCCACGCACACACGCCAGCCCCGGACACTCATCACCCGCCACGCATCAGACCTGCGCCTGACGGAGGCTCCAGGTGAGCTGTGCACAGACCGTCCCACATCCAGAGAGGAAGACCATCATGGCCTCCGTGCGTTTCTCAGGATTCCTAAAAGATCATCTGAGTTTCAGTCGGAGTGTTATCATTAGACTCTACTCAGAGGTGTTAAGAATCAGGGAAACTCAGCAGCATTTTTTTTTTCAATTGGACAGAGCAAAGCTTCAGAAATCCAGGCTTACATAAAAATGAACAAAACAAAATAAACTCCCTCCTTGAACAGACATTAGAACTGAAAGGCGTTGGGACCAGCAGTTAGCATAATGGCTATGTCGCTGGACTCCTGTGTAGTTGACCGCGGTTCAAGTCCCAGACCTGGTGGCTTAAACTCATGCCGGGTGCATGTGCATGCGTGCCCAGGATCCCAAGAGGAGAATGGAGGAGAAGGGATTGCGGCGTGGCCCTCCCCCCCTCCCCGGGGCGGGGGTGTCATTTCTCGCTTTCCGTCTCCTTGTCTCTCTCTGTCTTTTTGGAAAAGCGCATGTGCTCTATAGCAAAAACTTCTCAAAACAGAAATGAAAGGCATTGATGGCAGAATGGACGGTGGGGAAAGATCACTGTGAACCTTTTTCAGAATGCAGATAATTGGTACTGTTAATCTTGTTACTATTATCACTTATTGAGAATTGCCGAGGTCCTAGATATAATTTAGACCCTTTTGCATAGAGCTACAACCTTCTAAATAACCTCCATGAGACAGGTAATAATATCTCCATTTCACAGACGCAGACACCAAGGTTCAGAGAGGCTGAGTACCTCGCCCACATAAGGTGAACTGTGATTCCAGTTTGTCCGAGATGGTCTAGGATCCAACACTGAACGTCCTGCATCCCAGGAAGCTTCTCGGCCCTGAACAAGCCAGCACAGCTCTGCCATGGCGGCAGGGCTAATGAGCAGAACAGGGTGGATCCCAACCAGGGCTAGTCTGGCTCCACACCTCACTCTCTTTCCACGCTGCCAGAAGGAATCACATTAAACAGGCAAAATTCATTCAAATGTATGTACAGAGAATGGAAGGAAGGAAAGGGAGGGGGGAAAGGAGAAAACAGGAAGGAAAAATATGAACAAACAAAAAGAAGGAAGGAAAGAAGAAACTCTTGTAAATAGAAAAAAATGTGCCTATGAAGTTGAGAAGCATAATGCTTAGTTTCCTGTAAAACTTCTATGTTTAATTCTCAGATGTAATGGAACCAGCAGTTGGCATAATGGCTATGTCACTGGACTCCCATGTAGCTGACCATGGTTTGAGTCCCAGACCTGGTGGCTTAAACTCACGCCAGGCACGTGTGCGTGCGTGCCCAAGATCCCAAGAGGAGAATGGAGGAGAAGGGATTGTGGCATGGCCATCCCCCTTGGGGTGGGGTTTCTTGCTTTCTGTCTCTCTGTCTCTGTCTTTCTGGCAAGCCACACGCCCTATAGCAAAAATGCAGACTAAGGGCATATCCTAGTCAGCAGTTCACAGAAAGGTGGAGGACCAGAGGAGCACATGGCGCTGCCTGGTCCCTCTGAGCTGACACACTCAGCTCACACACCTCCCAGTACTCCGAGATGTGTGCACTCTCAGCTTCCGGGCTAAAGAGGTATGGTGCGATGCGCCACCCCCCTCAGGAGGGCAGGGAGGTCCCAGGACCCCCGAAGTGCACTGTCCGTAAGGGAAATATCTGTTTTCTACAGTGGCGTCACCCAAAGCCACCCAAACAATCCCGAGGTGGGGTTGGGGCGCATTTCATCCCACCAGTCACCCCAATTCAGAGCATCCCCACTAGCATCTGGAAGCCAAGCCCATTTCCTTCATGGCTGAGAGGTTTGCCATTCCTGTCTTGTCTCGAGTGGAGCTGGATGTGACCCACGCTCTCTGGTTTCAGGTTTTTGACTACTCCAGGTCTCCCCTGTTATCAAAGCTGCCGCCCTTAGCTCTTGTTGACCATGAAAAGCGTATTTATTTTGTGCAACAGGCCAACTTGAATGTCCCCAAAGAATTTTTTTGAAAGGTAAAATATCAAACAAATTAAGCATGTAGGGCTTTGCCGCCTGTACTTATTGCCCAAAGGAGGAAGGTTGCCATGGCGATGCGGCTGGCAAGGAGGATGGAGTCTGGCTGGAGGGTAAATAAAATACCACGATGGGGCACAGGCTACCTAGCCAACCAGCTCGCCCCTTACGATGCTGGGACTGTTTGTCCAAGTCTTAGGACTTTAGTCAGAATTAAGAGAGCATGAGACAAACAAAAATGTCCAGCTGCAAGCA